AAATAAATAAAATCTTAAAAAAAAAAAAAAGAGAAGAAATCAAAGAGGAAATTTAAAGAATACCTTGAGACAAATGAAAATGGAAACAACATTCCAAAATCTATGGGACCCAGCAAAAGCAGTTCTAGAAGGAAAGTCCATAGCAATACAGGCCTATCACAAGAAACAAAAATCTCAAATAGTCTAACCTTAGATTTAAAGGAACTAGAAAAAGAAGAACAAGCAAAACCCAATATTAATAGAAGGAAGGCAATAATATATATCATAGCAGAAATAAATGAAATAGAGACTAAGAAAATAGAAAAAATCAATGAAACTAAGAGCTGGCAAAATTGATAAACCTTTAGCCAGACTCATCAAGAATAAAAGAAAGAGGGCTCAAATAAGTAAAATCAGAAATGAGAGAAGTTATAATCAACACTAGAAGAAATTTTTTTGGATGTTTCCTCAGGCAAGGACAACAAAAGCAAAAATAAACAATTAGGACAATATCAAACAAAACGCTTTTGCACAACAAAGGAAGCTATCAATAAAATGGTAAGGTAACCTACTGAATGGGAGAAGATACTTACAAATGATATAATCAATAAGGGATTAATATTCAAAATATATAAAAAAACTCATTAGTATTAAAAAAACCAACCTGATTAAAAAATGGACAAAGGACCTAAGATAAACATTTTTTTCAAAAAGATACACAGATAGCAGACACATGAAAAGATACTCAACATCACTAATCATCAGGGAAATGCAAACCAAAGCCATAGTAAGATGGCTCGCCTTTCAGAATGGCTAGTATCAATACAAGAAATGAAGTGTTAGTGAAGATGTAGAAAAAAAGGGATCCCTTACGCACCGTTGGTGGGAACGTACTTGGTGCAACCACTATGGAAAAGAGCATAAAGGTTCCTCCAAAAATTAAAAATAGAACAAAAACCATATGATCGAGCAATTCCACTTTGGGGATTTATCTGAAGAAAAAAGTACTAACAGAAAAAGATAATGTACCCCTATGTTCATTGCAGCATTATTTACAGTAGTCAAGGTATGGAAACAACCTATGTATCTATCAGTGGATGAATGGATAAAGAAACTGTGATATATATAGATATACACAGTGGAATATTAGTTAACCATAAGCTGATTTCAAAAATGAAATCTTGCCATTTTTGACTACATGGATGGATGCAGAGGGTGGTATGCTAAGTGAAGTAAGTCAAAGAAAGAGAAGTACCATAGGATTTCACTTATATGTAGAATCTAAAAAGCAAAACATGAATAAACAAAAAATGAAAACAGACCCAAAGAATAAATTGGTGGTTGCTAGAGAGGAGGTGGGTAAAGGATGGGTGAAATAGGCGAAGAGGATTAAAAGGTACAGACTTAACAGTTATAAAGAACTTGAAGAGATGTGAAGTGCAGTATAGGAAATACAGTCAATATTGTATTACCTGTGTATGGTGACTAGACTTATGGTGTTTATTTTGTGATGTATGATGTAAGGTTGAATCACTTTGTGGTACACCTGAAACTAATATGTTAGCTACAGTTAAAAAGTTTATTTGAAATAATACATTTTCTTATTTATTTATTTATTTTTAAAGGATCCCTTCTTAGTCCTACATCCTTTTTCAGCCATGGCCCAATTTCTCTCCTTTCTTTAAGGGTAACTTCTTTAAAGAGTAATCCATGGTCCTCCACCCCTCTGCAGTCTAGCTTCCCTCTTCCTCCCCTGAAATCATCCTGTCCAAGGTCACTAATGATTTCGTTTGCCAAATCCAGCACAAACTTTTCAGGCTTTGTGACAGCCTTACTCGTATTATTTGACCTCCCCACTGCCTTGGATGCCATGGACCCTCTTTTTCCTTCTTGAAATTCTCTCCTTCTTTGACTTCACTGATGCTGGCTCTTCTGCTTTTTCTTCCTCCTATCAGCTGCTCTTTCCCAGTCTTCCTGCATCTACTCCCTAAATAATACGGTTCTGCCAGGGTCCCGTCTTTTTCTCTTTTTCTAATATGTGTTGTCCCGAGCTAGGCTCATTCTCATGGCTTCACCTAACACCTCTAGGCTAAGGGCACACAGATCTCCTGCCTGGACTCACGGACAACTCCACCTGGACACTCTATAGACAGCTGCAGTCCTCTGCCCCAACTGAACTCCGTGTTCCCAAAGACAATTCCTCTTCCTTATTCCCTATGCCAGTAAATGGAACTGCCATTTTCCTACTGACCTAGCTGGAAACCGAATGATCCCCAGCTCCTTCCTGGCCTTCACTTCCTGTTAGTCATCATCACTGTGGATTCTGCTACAGAACTCTATCTCCTGGTAGGCCCACTCTCTACAACCCCACGGTAACCATTTAAATTCTGTTCAGGCCCCCATCATTTCACACCTAACTTACCAAAAAAGTGATCCATCCCTCTGTCTCTTCCCCCATCTCCTTCTGCTTTCATTGTTCTTTTTAAGTCAGATATCTAACTGTGTTATTCTCTTGCACTTCTGTGGCACCCCACCTCTTTTGAGGTAGATGCTTAGCAAGGTATTCAAGGCCTGTCATGTCTGGCTACATGTTGCCTTCCTGAGCTCACACCCTGCAGTTTCCACCTCACCGTTTGTACACGTGCACAGCTCCTTCATCTGCCCATACCGCCGGTCCCCTGAAAGCATGGTCCTCACACTGGCCCCTGTGCTCTCACGCATGCTGCTCCCTCTGCCTAGAATACCCTTCCTTCCACTTCTTCAGATTACCCCTGGGCAGTTCTCGGAGGCCTTTCCTGACCAGGTGCTCTGCAGGCTTCCTTCACCTCTACCTGTATGTCTGCGGATTTCAGCACTCCACATTGTGAACTGGAACTGTTTGCTTACTTGCCTGTTTATCCCACTTGTCTGCATATTCTTTGATGTTAAAAAACCATGTCTTCTCCAGAGCTCCAGGGCCTGGCACAATGCCTGTCCCATATTACGGACCCAGCGTCTATTTATTGCAATGAAATATATGCAGGTTTTAGGTTCTGATTTTAGGTTTTTACCACAGTGACAAGCCACAGAGGTTGGAAGGTTGGATTTCATTTGCATTAAATTCATTGGGAGATAATGATGATCACAAGTTGTGTTTTCTGACAAAATGCAAATAATCATTCTTTATTGAATACGTTAATAGTAAAATTAATGCTGACATGACTATCTTAAGGGATGCTAGGCTTTGCCTCCCAGACATGAATGGCTCCCCCAGCAGTCCCTGAAGTGGCTGTGAGTTCTTCTCTGCATCCTCTGCAGAGTCCTGTCCTGCCTCATCAGCTCTGCCTGAGGCACTTAAATGCTCCCTGAGCACACACTGGGCCTGCAGATTCTCCACAACCCCCTTTACTACTCATAGTGTAAGGGGAACCGCTCCTCAGAGTTCCTGCTCATTCCCTCCATTCGCTAAAGAGCTTGGTTGGATGAGCCAACTTGTACATCTCAACCACAGCAGGGAAAAGCCCTTGGCGTCACCCAAATGAGAAGTTGCAGGTGCTTTCCTGGGCTTGGCTTTTATGTTATTTACCCTGTGCTTCCCCTGTGGATGGTCTGCCTAAAGGAGATATTCAAAGAGTGTCTTGCAAACTCCGTCTGCCTTGAAGATGGCAGGCGGTGGGAAGTAAGCCTGAAGTCATCTGGCCCTGCCTCCAAAACCCTTACCTCTTCCACGCAGAACAGTGTGTCCCTACCTCTAAAGAGCTGCGAAGGATATTTTCTTTTTTTTATTTACATTAAAAAGCATCACTATAAGAGATACCTTTTAATACCTCTCAGTCTTCCCTCTCAGGAAATTTATTGTCATATTTGACTTCAGTGCTTTTGTGCTACAGTTTCCGTCCTCGGGGAAAAGAAAAGCTGATTGGCATTATCCAGTCTTAAAAGCCTGTGTATTTTATGGCCACCACCATATCTCCTGGACACATCTTCTCCAGACACCCTAAGCTCAGTTCTTTTATCTTTCCTACATATATTGCATTTTCTAGTTCTTTGTGTCTGTTATGACTGACCTCATGTAAATTATAGAGGTAGACACGGACAAGTGGTAGAGAGGAGACCATAGATAAGGTGCTTCTCGGGGGAGAGGAAACAAACATGTGAAATATATTTATACACAGAAACATTAAATAAATACATAGATAACTTCAGCAGACCGTGTTCAAAGCTGGTGAGTTATTGTGAGAAGAGGAGTTAATTAATGAACAGTGTTTGGAAGCAAGAAGGACCCAGCCTAGTATGGAAATTCTCTTTGTTGCTCATCAATCGTGTTCATTGACCCATTCATCTCCAGCACTTCACACAACACCTGGCTTATTTTACGCACTCAGTAAATGTTAACTGGATAACTGACTAGCTGTAGTACTCTAGTAAGAGTAGACCAGTAGGATTTGGTTTGTAATTTTATAATTATTTTTTATATCCTGTGTACTCCGTGATAGAGGTTTTAGGATTTTAGAGCAGAAAGAACTAAGTGGCAAAGCCCTGAGAGAACACTACCCTGTGTTTGTACTTGCTACAGTCCATTTCAGTTGCTTTCCTTCTCCCAGCTCCTGCTGACCTCCATTTGGACAAACCAACAGAAGAGGCAGAAGCTAATCTTGAAATGATTTTCCAGCCTACTTACTTGATTCACTCTGTCTCCATGTCTTAGCCCTTGTGCCACACTGCTCTTGATGTACTTTATTTAAGGGATTTCGTTATTAAGCAATCATTGTTGGAAGATTATTCCTCCCACTGAACCATGTTCAAATGTCCTGTGTCCCTGTATTAGATTATCGTACGTCGCTATCCTACGTGCCCCACTCTAAGACTCTCCTAGGTTTCCTGTTCAGCACATATGTTCTGCACAAACTCAATTTCTTGCAAATGCTTAAACTTTACATTTATATATATCTATATATAAAGCTATATATATTTTATAATATATAAATCCAATCTGGAATACATTGCATTTACATATATTATAAAATATATATATTTATATTTTTATATGTTTATAAATTATTTATATATATAAATGCAATGTTGTATTTCAGATTGGATCCTTGAATAGAAAAAAAGGACATTAGCAAAACAATTGGTGAAATCTGAATAAAGTCTATAATTTACCTAATGCTTCATTTCTGAGTTTTTGGTCAATGCACTGTGGGTTGTGTAAGATGTTAACATTAGGGGTAACCAAGTGAAGGGTATGAGGGTACAAACATTTCACAAATAGAGGAAATGTTAGAAACCCAAGTACATGTGAACATCTTGGTTATTTTCAAAGCAGAATTTTTCAAGCAGGAGAAAAATTGCAGAACAGCAAAGTGTATACTTCAGAGAATTCCAGGCAGCACAAAGTAAACAAATAACGACAAAGAACCTCTGTCCCTGCTCAGCCCCCTTCCCGTTCCCTCCTAGGTCCATTGCATCCATTCCCACAGCTTTAACTGTCACCTTTGTGCTGATAGCAGCAGTGCCCCCTGAGTATTCCACATCGCTCCCATCCCACATTTCCAAGGGCCATACTTCCTGCCCCGCCTACAAGCACTTCATAGTCAGCACTTATGAAACTCAATTTTTTATCCCCTTCCCTGACAGCCTGCCCTGTGTAGGCCAGTGACATCACCATCCTGTCACCCAAGCTAGATACGTCAGTCACCTTTGTTTCCCCTCTCCTCTTTCACGAATTTTTTTTTAAGATTTTATTTATTTATTTGTCAGAGAGAAAGAGAGCACAAGCAGGGGGAGCAGCAAGGCAGAGGGAGAAGCAGGCTCCCCACTGAGCAGGGAGCCCGATGCGGGGCTCGATCCCAGGACCCCGGGATCATGACCTGAGCCGAAGGCAGACG